GTTGGAGTTCAGAGTTGCCGAGGTATAAATTCAGTGTAGACTCAATGTACACTCAGGGTCAGTCATTCACTGTATCAGGCATACTAGTGGGCTGAGAATGCCTGTATATGCTAGAGGATCTGCCATGGGTATCCGAATGTTCTCTTTGAACTGTCCCAGAGAGCTGGGAGGTGACGATCGTGGCAACACACAACTATCAAGCGACAAATATGCAGAGGCCCCTGCCTGTGGCGGGGTGGTCGTGCCTGTGAGGGTCTATGAGAGTCATCCAGTGTGGCCCGGATGCTAAATCAGAATATACATTCATGGGTGCACGAATGAAAGCCCAATGAATATTCAATGTACATACAATCGAGGAGGGCACAATCCAAATTAACAACTTTAAAATGGTAATGATAAAATGTACCGATTCACACTGGATCAAACATAGTCTAATGAGCGTCTCAATTAATGTTTGTCACATAAATGGCTAGTACTAGACATTATCACACAACGCCAAATCGTTTCCTCCAACACTCGCGCTCGACATGTAGCCATCTGTCCATCAGTGTTCGTCTACTTTCGTTGGAACACCCGTATCCTCCTCCTCTTCTGATCAGCACGGGCTTGATCGCAGTTTGTCTCTATCACCGTGCATACGAAGTATTCGACGCGGAGGCACCAATGGAGATGTCCATCTTTCAGAGGGAACTTCGACCATGGGGCTATCCGAAATGGGTGAGTGGGGATGTCTCGAAGTACCGGGCGCGGATGACTCGGTCATGCTGCCGTTTGGATCACTCATCATAGGGTCGAGGAAACTTTCCGGGGCATGGGACGTCGTATGTATCTGAGGAGGTAGAACGGGTCGACGAAGTATGATCGGTATTTGTTCGAGCGAGATTATAAGGAGAAACGTTGAGGAGGAATGAATTGGCTTACGGTAACTGCGACATGGGGACGTTGGCCGAAGGATGGACGAACGCTACTGATGGTCGGGACATAGGATCGCCGGTGTTGTAGTGCAAGCTCCGCACGGCCATTCCTAGTCAGTATATCCGTCAATACATCTGATAGCGCTACCGTGTCTTCGAGCTAAGGGGTGGAATTCACTTACAGCGTTACGTAGAGCGAGATCACGTAGAGTTTCCCCAGTATAGATTGAAACGTAAGGTTCCAATAGTTGCTGTTCAACTGTACGTACGTCAGCCATACTTGTGAGGAGATAGAGTGAAGGTTTGCTCAGCAGATGAGACTTACTAGTGCGACGTATGTGGCCACGGCAACTATGGCACAGGCGCAGGGAGGCACTGCAGCTTCCCAGGCGATGACCGTTAGTCGGGTTATGACCTGGATAGGGATATATTGAGTGACTATTAGAAGATGAAGCTAGCGATAAAATCACTCACTCGACGGAAACGTCTTGTGTAAACCTCGGAGCGAGAGCGTAGGAGGAAGGTAAGTACTGTTGGTAGTACGATATCAACTTAGTCCACTCTCACATAACGGAGCACATATGAAGCGCACATATACTCGTGACAAGGACATCAGTCACTATCGACAGTTTTAGCTGTGCCCAACGTGAGAGCGTGTCCACTAAACATACTCACAGGCCGGTATAGCCAAGGAGAGCACATCTAAAAGAGTCTGAGCGGGAAACAAAGCATTAATTCGGATATAAGAGACTCACAAATTGGGTCTATGGGAACAATCGGAGATGGTATATCTTCCTCTGGCTCGAGGGCTATAGTGAAGTTGACCATAAACACGTTGACGGTTAAAAGTATTGCTGCTATTATTGAGGCCAAAATGCAGCCGCCTAAAACGATCTGCGCAGCAGAAAAAGAAGGTCAGGATGATCGACTACAACTCGATTGTGAAGCAATCAAATATACCAGTGCAAGCCAGCTTCTACGCAAAAGCTTCGCGAAAGGCGTTCTCAATACCCTCAAATATTCAAACGCATGCGCTCCCACGTACATTCCAGCATCGCCAGGTAAGAAAGCCTTGAACCGGTGTGGCCATGAGTGCCGTCTGATGCGGGGTCAGAATCAGCCAGAAAAGAACAAAATCGGGTAAGTACCACTCACCAGCAAGCTTCCTAGTCGCTCTGGCCAGTGGGGATTGACGCCAAACACCTGAATCGGTATCGGTTCCTCTCGTACTTCTTCACATACAATGGAATGCTCACCCAATCGCCAAAATGTGTGACATATATCCTCCACCATGACGAAAATGAGATCCCGGTCTGGAAACTATCCGTCAAGGCCACCATGAATACCTGTATCTCTCGACCCAGATCAAACAACTCACAAAGCGACAGCAGTGACGAATGTCGCAATGAATGTGATTCCTCGCGACTCGTGCTCCATGTGGGTAACGAAATGAAGAGCTTGTGACATTACGAAACCTGTCTCAATGGATTCGATAACCATGGAGGCAGTATTGGGGCCAAGAAATAATTCAGGATGCCTTTCGATGTTCGGCAGCGTGAACGTCCCGTTTGTAGTACTGGTCATGGAGGTCCACTATGCCGCCGCACAACTAGGCGTCAATAACGAGAGCTGGGAACAGAGAAAGAGGTGGGTCGACATGTCGCGGGCGTCCCTGGGATTCAGGTTCAGTTATATACACGGCTAAATGAAGAGGGCCAGGTGGGATACTCTGACTATTACCTAAAGCGAAGGCAGACATAGAGAGAATAAGGTATCGACAATTGAAATGTCCCTTGCTGTGAAGGACCGAGATTCCGGTTTAGACTCGCGGATGCAAAGTCACCACACTGTTGGTAGGAATGATGGTGTACATCAGTGGTGGAAAGCCCCGAACTGGCTCCGAGGACAAGCGCTCTGTGTATCTCGGCGGCCCTCCTTCATCACATGCGTTCCCTCGGTTTCACACAAGATGAGAAATCGCTCCTCTCTATCCAGCCTTTGCCCTCGGTCTCTCAAGGCTAAGCCCGCTGTTTTCGCCCACTTCGAGGCGGCTCAGAGGATCTGCTCTCTCAGAAGTGCCGTCATGGTACAATATCACTCCCTGAACCGCAAATAGGTTATATGAGGTTGAAGGTTCAAGGAGTGCCACTTTCAGATCTGAAGGAGCTTCGTTGTTCACAGGGAGAGGTGCACAAGTCAGCAGTCAGGCCAGATTGTATAGAGTTAGGACGAACAGTCGCACCGTCATCGTCTTGTGTCCAGTGTCTGATGTACTAATAGACAGCAAGGAGTCTCCAGGCTGCTCCGTAGAAATTTCGGGAGACTTGCATGGCAAAACATGGATCTGTGGGAAGGCCTCCAAAAGGTTGAAAACGTATATCGCTACGCATCTCAAAAGGGGAGGCACTATGAGCTCACAGGATACGGGTCAGTCGGTCCCGTCCGAAAGGTACCGTTCGAGGCGTGGGCATGACCGCTTTGCCTGCGTTCGCAACGTATGGAGAGCCTGGAACAAGGACTGGTGGCGGAACAGCTTCTGCATAACGTGTGGAGAAACAACATACAAAAGGTCAAAGTCATTATTAGATGCCGATTCGGCCTCAGGGGTGCAGTGAATAGAGCTTCGCAGACCATAACCTACACCATTCGACTTGAAGGATATGGACGGAGTGGCTTCTCGTGTCTCAAGGGTGCCATAGCCAAAGCATAAATCGAGAGGTTATACTTGTGTGACTTACTTTGTAGGACACAAGCTGTGGTTCACAGAAGATCGGAGATCAATGTGCGATACGCCACAACATCATACCCTTCCTTCTCGGAGATGTGGGCAACGAGATAGGAGCAAGATGACTCGAGTGGATATCTCCATAGACCTCGGTATCACCTTAATGGTAAACATAAGTATGCCAACTGGTCCCGATGAAAGGAAAATGACGTACCATGCTACGATGAAGACCCATGTACAGCTATAGAAAGCGTAGGATATCTCATGACCCGGAAGAACAAATGATATAAAGACAGGATGTCTCGACCAAATAAATGTCACTGACCTTTTTGCCTTGTAGAAATGTAGAACTCGTGAACAGGAGCCTAGTGTACTGGAAGCCGTGACAGTCAGGCCACATAAGTTGGCACGAAGCGTGTCTTTGCTGTACATAGGCTGAAAGTAGAGCGAGAAAGGGTAAAAAGAAATCCGTCCGAAAAAGTGAAAAGCCGGAGTGTAAAATCAAGTGCGGGCCATAGCATGAGCACTGAACACTAGCAACGACGAGATAAATCCAAGGTCAACACTACAGTCGTTTGCACTGGGAGGAGAGGACCGGTGTCAAGATAAACGCGGGGTGGAGGTGGTGACGAGCGGGGATTCCAGCCGCATCAAATTCAGACGACCGAAACAATGACACATATCCGATTGGAGGAGAAATCGACGAAATCATAGGAACATACTTGAAAGAAACGGAGAGAAAACTACACTTAGTCATCGTCTTCATCTGCACTTCGGCCCATCTGCAGAATACAAAAACACCGCTCTAGATCATCCCAAACGCCCCGAAGATCCTCCATATGCAGCTCCTCAAGCTTGGACGCGCAATCTGGACAAAATCCACTCCTCTTGATCATGCGACTATGGTCCGTCAGCGCGTCCGGGTGGCGCATCATCCCCGACTGGTGCATCTCCACAATCATCCCAATCTTGGCGGCCTGACAACCCTCCTTCGCACAGTTCCGCGTTACATCGCTGTTCAGAAACCCTAAAGACCAAGTAAGCTTGTTATCCAAGAGCTTTTCGCGGCCTTCGGTGTAATGGAGCAGGAAGTCGCGATCAAGGTCAAGTGGCCCGCAGGCGAGATGGACCATATTCTTCAAAGAAGCGATGGAATGCTGGCAGCACTTATACAAGGCAACCGCGACGATGTGATGAAGGTCGTGAGTCCACGCCAGGCGGTAAGCGAAGTATTCTTCACCGTCGGAGTAAACTATTGGACGCGATTTCTTGGTATAGGTAAGGATCTGGCTGTTCCAGAAGCTGGCGAGCGAGCACGGGTAACAGGCATCCAGACGAACGATGGCTTCATCGCGGATGCAAGATATACCATACTTGCTGCCCAGACGAAGCCAAGTTGACACGACATCGAACTCTACGCTGGGCGCGACGAGAAGTCTACACAGTGACACGGTCAATGGCGTGGACATAAGCAAAGCATCGAAGAACTTACCGAGTATCATAAAGAGTAGAAAGCATGGTGGCGACGTCCTTTGCGTCGTCAAAGAGCTCAACAAAAGGACACCCGTGTATCAAGTCCTGGGTGGGAGGTTGAGGGATAGAGAACATGTCACTGAAAACTGAGGCATATCGCGACAAGATGCTACGGTGGACGCGAAAGAGCATTGTGTCTGTCACGATCACTATGTTACCATCGTCGTACCATAGATCTTTGTGTCTCGTTTTGAGATCGATGGGTAATATTTTGGCGCCTTCTAAAACCGAGTTGATTCGGCGCCTCTTGAGGGAAACGGGAGTCGAAAAGGGTGCAAAGAAGTTAGACGCGTGTCGTTCCAATGGAGCTGAAAATAGCGTTGATGAAAAGGTCTTGAGAAGAGACTAGACGAAGAACAGGGAGGTCTTGCTTACGCATTGTTGGCTGGGTTGATAATACGTGGCGGTCGTAAAGAACCCGAGAGCAAAGCTATGCCTGAGATTTGAGGGCCGACACAGTACATCCAACCTGAATGAGTACACCAAAAAGCAGGGGTCGAGAAAAGGGGCGTACAGAAAGAATTGGGTATAGATGTCGGGGCGTGGAGATGAAGTGGAAGGTCAAGTGGAGGTGTGTCAAGGTTTCAGGAAAGAACAATGTGAGTCGAGGCCCGCACGGTCCCGTGTGGCGCCGAGCTTTAGGGCAGGCCCTAGGTCAATGCCGAGCGACCAGCGAAAAGTTGTTTCCGACGGTCTCACGCACCAGCACTATTTCCTATTAGGAGCTCTGAAACCATGTTTATGCGTTAAAACACACTCTCAGCTTTGGTCAACAAGTCCAACACTAGCCCAACATCGACGGCCGGGGATGGCTCGATGGGCCACATCAGAATCAAAGAGGCATCTTTTTACCCCGATTTTCCGATCGGCCTGATGATTCCATTTGGCTCATATTCTCCGGAAATCGAAATGACCTAACCTGGGTTAAAAACCGGAAAATTACATGTTTTCTTATGTAAATACGATTGCCCTCCGGGCGCGACCTGGTCCTTTGTCCTCTATTAAATCGTCAACCGTTCCTACATCCTCTTGTTTTATTTGTATGGCACGCGTACATGAAAAAGTCATGCGAGTTCTCTTGGAGTTCTCATTACACCACAGAAACACAGAGAACTAGTAAGAAGTCACTTCAATGCAGACCATGTACGAAAGCGAGATCAGTGACTCAAAGGATAATACTCTCAGTCTCCGACAGGTGTTAGTAGTATTTTTCAACTCTGACCATACCTCCTACAAAGTAATATTGATGCAGGCGGGCCACTGCCGCGCCAGGGCTGCGCAAGCTCCGCCCAGCCGCTTCGTGGCCCGAAGTGGTTTTGTCAACCGATACAATCTTGAACAACTCTCAGTAATCAGTACTCAGTGATAGTGCTTA